ATAGAAGATTTTTACCAGCTTTTACAGTCGGAGAGTGATTGAACATGCAATCAAGATGCATTGTAATAATGGGTGACTGGAATGCAAAAGTTGGGAACAGAGAAGAAGATTCAGTAATTGGAAAACATGGCCTCGGTGATAGAAATGGAGCTGGAGAGAGAATGAATTTTGCAAAATCAAAGACTTATTCATTGCAAATATGTTTCTTAAGAGATATAAAAGCAGGTCTATAATATTACAATTACATATTATATTAATCCTTTGTTATCACATGAATCAAATTGCTGGTATCAATATTTTATTTTCACTACATCACAATATCAAATGAAAAATAGATAAAAGCCATGTGACCCAAATTCATGCTCTGTTAAATACACAAATAAATTTATTCTCTTGGAAAAAAATAGGTTCCATCAAGTATGACTCATACTGACCATACGAACAACCAATCTGAACCCTGTCTTATCCTGTGCCATCCCCAAGTTTGACCTTCTAACTTTCTTCCACAAAGCTTAGCTCAAAGCCCATGGTGCTGTGGATACACAAGTAGCATCAAGAGAAGAAAAAGTTTTACACCCTGTGTCCACCTCAGGTCCAAAGGCTGCAGTTGATGGCAGACAGGATGCCAGTATACGAGATCTTGCCAGGTATCACCTTCACTCTGGACATTATATAGCTGTGTGCCTCAGCTAGAAGTCTCCAGCACCCTGCAGCCACTGAATGCCGACCTGGAGCAGAGGCTGAGACACGGACCTTCTTTCAGAATTGTTAAAGAAAAAAATGATCTGCCATAGAGCTGGTACACAGAGCTCAGACATGGAGCTTCCTAAACTGTGAGACTTACCAGTCATTTTATTGGACAGGCAAATTGATCTGCATATTGCTAATTACTTTGTAGATTTGATATATACTTTCTTGCTTGTTCTGCAGTGTTCTCAGTAGTGCAGTGCTTGTCTGTCAGTTTGCTGTATTTGTAGGTTGTTGTGATATTAAAAACTATGCCATATACATTATTTATCCCCTCTTTCTCAATCTCACACAACCCCTATGTCACCCCTATGTTAGTCCTCTTTTATAACACTAGCATTATGCAGTATTATTGCCATGACAGAAGTCCAGAATGATAGCATAGTGGAGTGGACTTCGGGGGGGCGGGGTGAATATATTGTATATCAATGCAAGAATTTTTCTTTTACTTTTCAAAGAGAAGAGTGAATGGGGAGGGAGGAGTGGGAAGGGAAAAAAGTGTAACAATGAATGAATGGAAATCCAAAGTCTCTGTAAACATTCATTAAAATTAATTTTTTTAAAAAACCAACAAAAAGCTATGCCACTGGCATTTCAAAGGCCAGAGGGATCACACATGGTGGACAGGTTTTAAAAGTGGTCCAAGATTACAATAGACAAGGAAAAAGGATTGGCCATCCACTTTAGAATTAACGGGTCTCTGAAAACCCCATGAACATTAAAATTTAACACCTCAGCAAATAATCTCTGGACTTCTTGTGGCCTAGTGGAAAAGTTTGTGCTGCCAACCAAAAGGAAGGTGGTTTGGATCTACTACTAGCTTCTGCATGGGAGAAAACCAGGTAATCTGCACCTATGTAACTTAAAACTTCTGAAAACCCAAAGGAAGGTCAGCTATGAGTCAATTACAACTCAATGGCAATGAGAATATTCTCTATTTAACTTGAATCTGAAAAGAGATAATGCAATAACAAAAGGAACAAGGACCAAAATTAAAAGATAATATCATAATAAAAAGGAACAAAATAACCTAAGGATGCATTTCTTAACAGAAACTCTCATTTTTCACTGTATGTGTTCTCTGTTTTAGTCAGGTGACTGAGGGAAAAGGGCTCTTCATGGGGGTGGGGGTGGTGAAGACTGAGATCTAATATGTTGTGAAGCTAAATTTCACTAAGTTTTATAACGATAGAAGAACAGTTCACTCCTTAGACCTTTAGATAATAACATAGGGCCTTAAAAAACCCTACATATACAGTGCACTGAAAATGAAGAATCTTTGTACGGTGATTTATTCTGATGTCAGTGAAAATTGCCAGATTGAAGGTGGGCTACAGTGTATTTATAATTTCAAATACTGTCAAATGGGTAGTCAAAAGAATCTAAACTAAAATTTAATTAGTCATAATACAAAAATCTGTTAAAAAGTAAAAGCAGTTATAATTAAAGGAGGGTAAGTATATGGAGCTTATCCGTATCCTCAGCCCTACTCTCAGCTCTATGACTCAACAACACGCTGCTGTCAACTGGGAACTGACTCAGAGCTGCCCCTCCACTGGGCTACTGATGCTATAAACCACACAGGAAGAGAATGTGGCGATTTCTCCCTCAGGGGTGAAGGTGGATTTGAACCACTAGACGGTGCAATGCTTGAGTCAGCAGCCCAGCTCACGACAGCCGGTGCCACCAAAGCTCACTCAACTCCATGGTGGAGCATGGTAAAAGGACAGAAAGCAACTGCTGCTTGAGGTCATAAGAAAAAGAATTATTTGACAAATAAGAAGGGAGAGAAAAGTAGATTTGAAGTCAAACTAAGAGCTCCTTCTCCAAATGTTTGAAAAGGTAATAGTTTATCTTCAAAATAAATAGGTGATACCATTTATGACTAGGAAATCTGATTTTGAAATTTCTAATTGAATTAAGTCTTAAGTGAACATAATTTCTGAAAAATAGGGGTTTTCATTTCAATTACTTTTGTAATGAGGAAAAAAGATAACTGTTTTGGTTTTGTTTAAACCTTGAACAAAATATTTACGCATCACATACACAAGTTGACACATTTGCCTAAGTGAAATCATTATTTCCTGGAAAATTAAAAAAAAATTTAAATGACTCAAGAACATTACAGTGTAGTGGAAAGAAGAGCATATAAAAATTCATGGCAATAAAAGCTGCAGTTAAAATACATAAAAATACCAAACTCACTGCTGTCAATGTGACTCTAACTCGTAGTGATCTTGTAAGAGTGTGCAGAACCACTCCTTAGAGTAACCAAAGCAATCCTGATAAAAGCAGATAGATACGTTTCTCTTTCTAAGGAACTGGGCAGTTCAAACTGCTAGGCTTTTGGTTACCAGTCTGTTAACCATAGTGCCACCAAAGCTCCTCCTCCCCCCCTCACTCGCCTTTTTTTTTTGAGATGTGCAGTAGGGAGTATATCTGAAAAGCAGGGGAGAAAACGCAACACAAGACTCCTGGGAAACACTTTCCAAAGTAAAAGAGCTTTAAGGAGAGTCTTTGGTAACAAGTAAGAATTCTTGATTAGACAAGATAAACCGAAAAAGAAATGTTTAAGACACCGTAAAAGAATTTACAAAAATCTAGAGATGTAAACTTCACAACTATGAGTTTAAAAAAAAGGCTAGAGATGTGTAAAAACAGCATCATTAAGTATGGAAAAAAGGGCTCAAAAAAGAATGAAGAGTGAGTCAGATGCATCAGAGGCTTTCCCATTAGACACTGTGATACAAATCTAAAAGATTGTTCAGCAAATAGGTTAATTCTCTATATAAAGCCCTATGAACAATAATGTTAATGCTTGTTTTATTTTATTTTATTTTTGGTCACTTGTTATTAAGGTGTATTGTACATACAGAAAATATTCAACTCATAATTCTATTGTTTACTGGATTTTTTCTTAATTTTGCCACACTTGTAAAATTTTGGTGCTGTTCCAAAAGAAAAAAGAAAGATACATTATCAAAGTCCAGAAGCCCCTTTTGTACCAACCTCCTCCAAATATTATCCCTTTTGGATAATGTCTACTTTGAAATATATATTAATGGCATCATGTAGTATACATCCTTTTGAGTCTGCTTTCTTTCCTTTAAGAGTGTGAGAGTGTGTGTGTGTGTATGTGTGTGTGTGTGTATGTGAGAGAGAGAGAGAGAAATCCTTGAAGTAAGGATAGTGTGGCTTCATCTCCCATACTCTGAGCATGGTTTTAGTAGGGGCCAGTCCTTGAAGAGGGGCATCATTCTTGAAATGGTAGAAGGTCAACTTAGGAGAAGATCCTCAATAAGGTGGATTGACATGGTGGCTGGAATAACGGACTCAAGTATATCAGAGATAGTGAGGATGGTACAAGAAAGACAAGACAATCAAAAGTGTTTGAAAACTTAAGAAAATATAATATCACAAATAGGCAAAAACTAGAGGACATAATAAGATGTAGGTAAAATTTGAACAGGCCTCAGTCCTGTGCTTTGCCATCATCACTCCAAAAAGCCTTCTTCAGAGCTTTTGTGCAGATGGCCACCCCTCAAAGCCAGACTTGAGTTTCTCACAAGCTGAGCGGAGAAGAAATAACCTTTTTTCCACCACAGAATGTTAAGTCTTTCCCTTCAACCTGAATGGATCAAATGCTATCTTTTAAATGAGTGGACTCAATTTTATATTTTCTTGAAAAGGATTTTTCTTTGTTCTCCCTTTTTTAAAAACATAATCTTTTGTTGACATTTTGCCTTACATAATACTCTATTTTTGCAAAGACACGGAAAAGAAACATACAGTATACTTTTTTTAAAAAAGTGTTTTAAGGAAACCAACATTGCCATGGAGGTCAACTCAGTGAGCTTGTGTGACAGAGCAGAGACCTCTCCAGGATTCTAAAGCTGTAAATCTTTACAGAAGCACACTGCCGCATCTTTCTCCACTAAGCAGATGGTGGGTTTGAACGACTAATCTTTGCTTAGTGGCTGAACTCCCTAATCATTATGGCACCAAACTTCCTTAATACGTTGCCACACACTTTTTAAATTGACAGCCATTCTTAGAAACACATTTGCCGTCATTTGCAGCAACGTATTAAAGGACATAGCATTGTACAAAGTAACTGAGGAAAATACAAAGATGTGGTTAAGCAGCACCAGTAAATTAGCTTATTATAGAAATGAAATACTTTTATATCTGAAATAGGAAAATACTACATGCTCCAAATCTATCTCCCAGTGAGTAGACAGAACAATTCTCACCTTGAGGCATCTCAGGAGGCAGATAATGAGGTTCTTGAGCACTGACATGCACCCATTCAAAGTCATCATACAGATCCTGGTGGTAATCACAGGCCCCTGGACCATCGTCAAAAGTACAGCCACCTAGAGGGAAGACAGAGGCTTTTGTTACATTCAAATATTTTCCAAAAATGGAGACAATGCTGGAGCTGGAAATGCTACACTGACATATGTGATGTGGGTTTCATAATTTTAACAAGAATCATTAATTCTGCTTATGCTCGTTAACTTTTTCACATGCAAAGACATTTCTATCCCTATCTTCTATTTGAGGCACAGAATTTAGAAAATTAAAAATGGAAGAGATTTATACAGAGCTTTTCTTAAAAAAATAACAATTACCCTAGGCTCTTTACAGTTTTTAACAATTTTTGTGGAACTAAGGCAAGAAAAGTGTGAAAATTCTTTATTTAATTGTATAGTTAACGTAAGATCATTAATGAAATTAAAGTGTAAGTCTTAATCAAATTCCTTGCTTTAAAATAAAAATATTGAAATCCATCTACATTAGCAATGATACACACAAAGTTTACAGGTCTAAGGGAGCTAAGTATGACTTACTCTGTTAAACTTTATTTTGATTGCTGCCGTAACATTTATGATGTAACTTTTTAAGGTCAAAGCACAAAATCTATCTATACCCCCCCCACTTACTCTTTATTTAATAATTTTTAAAAATCTTTTAAAATGCAGTGGTAACCTTTCCCTGTACAACAGTCTTTTTATTTCTTTCCCTAGCTTTATGTTCAGGGATAATTTTAGAGGAGAAGTGGAATGAACTTACATGATTCTTGACCCACACACACAAGTGCACAATATTTAACATAGTTTATTCAAATCATGAAAATAAGAAGTAGCCTATATGTCTAATCTTGAAAGAAAATGGATTAGAACTAATGAAAATCCAGCAGTGGGTTTAATGAGAAAAACCAATAACCTGTCTCCTTTCAAGTAGCTTATTTGTTTAGTTTCCATGGGGATCTTTGTGAAGAGACTTGGAAAATTCTCTGGCCAGCAGCAGCTAGCAGCAGGCTGGTAAACTTTAGGCCCATAAATCCTTTTCTGTAATCAGAAAATTCATTTTCCTCATCAAAACTTTGACAATTTGAACCCAAATAAAAGTCACGTGTCCCACTCCCCTAACCAAAACAAGTGATGTGTCCCAGAAAAAAGAAGAAAAACCCAGAAATATCCAGATGATGTCATAGTCTAAATAGCCTTTTCCAAAGAGATATGTATATGTTTCCTTGAGTCACTCTTTGACTTCACCAATCATTTGAAATATCATAATTCTAATTGTTATCTAAACTTTAAAGAATTAAACACTGTCTTTTAAAACTCAAAACAAGCTCACAGGCATTGGAGTCACACCAACTCAGAGATCATCCATTGGGTTTCAAAGGCTATAAATCTTAAAGTGAAGAGACTATTCCACCATCTCCAAAAAGCTACTGGTAGACTCAATCCACTAAAGACATGAGAAGCAGTGTAACATGCTATGAGTACACAAAGAGAGATCCTATTGTTCTTATGTGTATTTGAACTATTTTATATGTTCTTAAGAAATACAATTCACTTCTCCTTTAAAATTAACCAGCAAAAAGTGGTTGCTAGGAAATGCCTCTTCATGTAACAAGGGAAAAGTCTATCTCAAAATGTTTTGCTCCTTCAACCCTGTGATTATTTATTGTCTTGTGCCACTACCACTAGGGCCGTCATTGCCCTTTGTAACAGTCTGAGTGCCCTCCATATACAAATGTGAGCTACTTACTAGTGGAACCCACATTGACTCATTTGGAAGACAAATGGCCTTAATTGCTATCCTGCACACATGCTGTTAATTTTAGACTCGAGTATGCTGATTAGCTACAAGAAGTTGTGCAAAAGAAGTGGGTCAATCCTTGCTATTTATTGTACATCTCTACCATTTCAGTAAAATATCACCAAAATCTTAGAAAGAGTTGATGGTCCACGTGTCTTGACTCCTTTAAAATTATTTAGAACATTTTAAATTAGGAATTTTGGTTCAATAAAAGTCCTAATCCAAACTGAATCATGAATCATATCTATCTTTTCATATATTTATAGTATATTGATGAAACTTTGATAAAAGAGTTTTATACCTCATTTTTAAAGAATAATGTATTCAGCCTTAAGGCCCAATAAAGTAAACTCCACTAGAAAATAAACTAAAAAAAAAATCACTAGGCAAATAAATAGGACAGAGAGATACATGTTCCTATATATATATACATATATATACACACACACACACATACACACAGTCTGTCACTGAATCAATATTGATTCATAATAATTCTATGTGTGTGTCTAAGGCAGAATTGCGCCATTGAGTTTTCATGTCTTTGAGATGTAAATCGGCATACCAGTCTTCTAAGGCACATCTGGATGAATGGGTGCAAACTCTGAACCATTTTTCTGGTAGTCAGTGCTTAACTGTCTGCCACTTTGGCAGATATATTCCACTGTACTCAACTGGATGACCAAATGCTCCTATGACCAAATTCTAAGGAAAAAAGAAGAATGAGTTACCTCCTCTCAGTTGATTAGGGAAAATTTCAAAAACTGAATATTTGATTAGCAATAGGAAGAATATACAAACTAGAGAAGAGTCAGAATGTGTATAGGACTCAAATTAGAAAGGGAGGAGGAAAGTATTTCTAATGGGGCTTGGTTATGTAGAGAAAACACAAATCATTCAGTATGCACCATGACACATAACACACAAGGCAGAACCAAAACCAAATAAGGTTCAAAATTACTTAAAACATTTATAGTCTATAGTTTCACTGGAAGCATTTAGGAATTTTATCCAGCAGTAGAGTACAAATTTTTTCAATACCAAAAACAGCACACACACCACAGACCACCATCTAGAGTATAAAGAGAAATGAGAAAGGAGATAAGAGGCCAACCTTACAATAGAGGCGCATCATATATTGTAATTACTGATTATTTGAGGTTTGCTCGAAAGCACTAAACACAGTCATCTATGATAAATACCCCTCTAAGCACATATTCTTTAATTCAAGTTACCTTTATATATGGTATGACAACCAAGTTAAGAAGGAAATATCAAAACAAGGTCCCAATTCACAAAAATAAAGCATAACTCATGAATTAAATATTCCCTGGGTGCACAGCGGAAGAGGAGGAAGCAATACTGATAGAATGTTCGAGAAATGTAATTAGCCCAGAGGACTTGAGACTTAAGCCATCATATTAAGGGCTGGATAAGGGGAGAGAGGTGTTGAATGCTATAGGCTGGAGTAAAAGGGGATACTTGTGTAGTAAGGAAAGGGGTGAGTCAAAACACACGGCCAAGGGCGGGTAACAACATTGAATCTATTGTTTACTTCTATAATCAGGGAAATGTCATTCATCTGCTCCTCTAAATCTGAGCAAACTAAGACGAAGTAGGAAGAAGAACTGGCCATCCACTTCTGAAATAACAGGTCTTCAAAAACCCTATGTACAATAGAGTATACTTAGACTAGCAGATATGGCAACTGAGTTGGAGAGCTCAAATGTGGAAACACAAAGGAGGAGGAACAGCTGTGAAGCAGATACTAGTGACTGGAGTGTTGAATGTGAGAAGCATGATTGTAGGGAAATTGGACAATGTTAAGAATGAAATGGAACACATAAATATTGACATACTAGGTCCTGGAGAAATGAGATGGCTTGGCATGGGACATTTTGAATCAGATCATACAATCTGCTATGCTGGAAATGAAAAAGTGGGGGGAAATGGGGTTGCTTTCATAATTAAAAAAGTAATTTCTAGATCCATCTTGAAATACAAAGTTGTGAGTGACAGGAAAATATCCATATACATGCAAGGAAGTCCTGTGAATATCACTATTATTCAAATATATCATTAGCCAAGAGGGAAAGAAAACTAAGCTTAAAAACCACTTCCGTTTCCAACTGTCATATTTGCTACTAGTGCTATGTCTATGAGCAGCTGCAAATCATGCCTGAGAGATGAAGCCCAGAAGTTCCTTGACCCATGGAGGAAAATTACTTTTGAAGAGGCACTTCACAGATTGCAAATTCCTCTATGCCAATCAATCAGCTCAGGAACCTATCTATTACTGCTGTGGTTCACTCTCACCATAGTCACTTCTACGGGTTTGCAAGCTGCTCACCAGAAAGTGAAAATCAGTTGATTTGGACTTAGTAGAACTACTTTTCACTCTCAAGTTGCCAACTTAAAGAACTAGTACTCACATGTTAGGTATTTCCTCCACCACCAAAAAAAGCATCACCATCCAAAATCCACACTGATATGCAGCTTTATAAAGACATTTTAGTACTTTGTTAAACAAATGGAGATAACTTTATAAGAAAATATAGAAATTAAGACTCTGTACAACTGCAAATGAATCAATAATGAACTTGTATACTTAAGTCAAACCTTTCAAATAAAAACTTAGAATGAAGTTAAGGTGGAGCAAAACTATACTAGAGAAAGATGTAAAGTCGGAAGAAAAGCTTTGAACATTTTACAAACAGCATTCTCTTATAAAGATATTGTGTGCAATTTTACCAGGATCTTCCAATAAATCCTTCACTTCTAGATATCTAGGTAGTATTACTTAACTAAATATATTAGTAAGGAACACATAAAATTATGTTGCATGGTATCTTTTGCTGTTAGTGAAAAAAATAAGTTGTATTAGGTAAGATACAAACTTCCCCCTCCCTCTTCTCTTACATATTCATTGGATGCTAAGAGTAAAGTTCTATACATTATTGAAAAATACAGGAATCAGAGTATACAAGATAAATTCAGTTGTTTGATGACCCTTAAGACAAGCAAATAAATATCCTTTTCCAGTTATGACTTAAACTGTGATACTAAATTTTACTGATTTAAGTGATCACCAACTTTGGAATAATCATTCTTCCATTAAGGGAAAAGAAAACAACTAACAAAACATCAGATCCCCTTTGAGTAAATCACTTTTATTTACGCTAATTCAAAATTATAACACAAAATTGACTGGTGTAAGATTCACAACTCGTTACAAAGAAATCAATATATTTCACAGAAATGC